CTTCAAGCATCTAATGCAGAACAAATACACACGTTTTAAAAAAAAAACACGTTTTTGAAACAAACGAAACGCGTGATTGTCGTCCATTTAAAAAGTTTCATCACTCCAGCAGAACGGTTTGTATTTGTTCGTATCATCTCGGTCCGGTTTATACATTCTGCCACCAACGGCGCCTCTAATATACATCGCCATTATAAATGTTCACGCAAACAAGAGGGGGACATACAGTTTTAGCGACGCGTAGATCTCATTGTCAGCCTCGGCTTTGCTCGGAAGGTCTCTAAAAATGTATGTCTACCCTTGTTGAGATAAATATTTGTATTATTATTATTATACATGTACCAAATAAATAGTAAAATAGAAATTGTTGCACTCAATTATGGCAATCATTCAGGGCACGCTCGTAGAGCTGAGTGCAAGTATGCACACAAATGTACAAGTTGAAAGAGTTCAAAAACAATGATTGAATTTGATCGACAAGAGCGGGTAAAAATCATGTGAAAATCCTAGTTTTATCTTCAAATAGATAGTGAAAACAAACATGACAAACTAGTTATTTCATCAATAATGCCGCGTCTTTGGGAGAAAGATACTCGGATAGAGGTAGACATCCCAATATGTCAGCATGGTAGACACGGGAATATGTCTACCTAAAATGCGTGAATCTGATTGGCTGTCATGGTCATGAGGTACAATAACAGAATGTATCAACTTACGTTCCTATGCAACTTTGAACTTTGAATGAACAGTAAATGTCGCATTCAATCAAAGACTATCGCAAAACGGTCGAAAACGCAATATTTGTATTTAATTTGTCATTTTGTAATATGTCAAACTAAAAACCAGGGGCACAATATATGGTACAATCGAGTGAACGCAGTCCGTAATCTTTCAAAAATAAACCAGTGATACTTTTGCGACATGAAAACAATAAAGCCCTATATATCTGAGAAATATGACGGACAACACCGTTGATCAATATATAACTAGTCGCTGCAGTGAAAATGTCAAGCTATGAACCAGATATGAACCAAACAAACTAGTTATTAGTATTACGTCAATTTATTTCGTAGTTCTGTAGTTTATATAAACATGACGCAAACAACGTCTATGCATTGGGTACGAGTTTCAACAACAGGCACTACGAAATGAGAAAAATTTCATCTGTATTCATACACTGGAACGAGAATACAGACCGTATTTGGAATTTGCCAGATGGTTGAAGCAGTAGGAACAGATACTGTTCGTGTCAATCTGCGCATGCGTGGGATACCTTCAAACAGCGGGACTGCAAATGTTGTATGCGGAAGTATAATTTTCAGCAGCTAAAAAATCTGTGCATGTCTTGTTTAGTAGTGCACAGCCTGATCGGTCGGAAAAAAGTATTAGTGATTTTCGTGGTTTCGATCGTAAAGCCCACATGGACGTCCATGTATAGATTGTCGGACTCCTGTGAGGATATCAATGTAGTGTCATAGACTTGGTGCGTGAATATAATAATAACAGCAAATGACGCAATAGTAACAAAATGAAGTGACTTCTGAAAACTGAATGCCCTTTGCGAATTTGATATATGGGCCTCTGGTGTTAAGTAGCTCCGCGTTTCACGGCAACTCTCGAAAAAACAAAAATCATTTTGCAGAACAGACAACCATCCCTAAACTGTGCACGGCACAGGGGAAATTAAGTCCTAAATAAAAACAACGCATTTCCGGTAAGAAGTGCAATTTAATATTCATAACCCATATGAATATGCGATACACAAGAACTTGTCAAATAATAGATTGATGTACTAAACAGTGATATACATAGTCGATAAATAAAAATACACGCGAAATTAAAGTTTCATCATTCGTCACTGAGGTACATTATGGGAACCTCGAACCAACCAACCGATCGATTTAGATATGTTGTTCAGTGATGCGCCCCCAGATACAAGTATTCATATAGAACGCATCCCAAGTAATGTACAAGAAGTTGCTGAAAACTGCTACAGTAAATTGGCCATTTTCAGAACTATTATGACGTCTGAACAAGCGCAGAAGCTGAAATGATGTCCACAGATTGAAAAATATATGTGGAAATATTGAGTGCCAAATGAGCGAATCTGATTGGCTGGTAGGGCTATAAAGTATAATAATATGATACATTGACATGACAATGGACTCTCTGGAAAAAAGTATAAACATTAGAAATGAAACAAAAATATCGAACGTTACAATAACTTTCTCGCGAAATCATTCAGTGGATACATACAGTAACACAATTAGTAGTCATAAACGTCTATACTAAAATTAAAGAAATAAAAATAGATTTGTCAAATATGTTAATTTGAGTCACTCATTTCAATGAAATTAATTTAATAATGGGAAACCCTCATTCCCGTGAATCACCGAACTAATATGATTTATTGTACTAATATGTCCAATTCAGTGAACAAGGAGTAGTTTTGTGATGTTTCTTTCCAAACACTTCCACCTCACACATATGTAAATAGTTGTTATGATCTTTCAATTGTACCCCAACATAACGTCCATTTAGCTGACAATCAAGTGTGATCTTCTCTCCATATGTGTTTGCGTTCCAGTCTATTTGATCTCCACATTGGTCATTTTGGCTTAAATCAGAATTGCCACCAATTAACACAACAGCTCCATCAATTCTCTCAGCTGAAATATATAAACGTCAATTATTCTAATCGTATTTGATATGTTTTGTCATGTATAACCGCGTAGTTTGTGAGTGCGAGCTTGAAAAGACTGGGAAAACATGCATTATTTATTACATGACATATATTCACTAAACTCGATGGAATGAATAAATCAACAATTGATTTCATTAGACAGAATATCCTGGTCATAATTTCACATGTTTTACATGTAAGCAATTCATGCACACAATACAACAATTCGAGATATATAAAATATCATGTATTTGTGTTAGACATTTTTTGTATTTTTTAAGAAAATTATAATGAATATAATCTAAAATAACATCATTGCATTTTAAGATCTACTTACAACAACAATCCTGTCGATTTGTTATTACCACTTGAGAAATAGAGTATGTTTCTCCCAAATCTAGTTTCCACCAAGCGCCCTGTTCCTTTGCAGTATGGCTACAACTTTGATCACCATATATAGAATCATCATTTCCATCATTTGCATAATGAGCTGGTCCATCATAAGCAGTGCTGCTTTGGCTTGCTGTTCCTTTTAGTCCAACATTTTCTGTTTGAGTACGAAAAGTTGCAGATTGGAACTTATAGGTATGACATATATTACCAAACACACTAGTTGATACATTAACACGTGAGCGTCTATTGGATGAGAGGATACATGAAATGCTATTGAGTCTAAAACAGATACACATGCATCACTCCTGTTATTACGTACCATGTAACATTGGTTTCTCACTGCCAATCGCTTCGTCCTCTGCTTCCATCAATAAAGGAACTATGGGACAAACAACGATATTGGTGAATTAATGCTGTTGTAGGTCGGTGGACAAAAACTATTCAATGGTCATGTGAAACTATCTTGGTTATTTTAGAAGCAATGTACAATGATTGTTTCTTACCTTCAGCCATGACCTGCATTTCACAAAAGTTGAGAAGGTCAGATCTATCTACCAGCTGCATACTGACATAACGCCCAACGATTGGACTGCTACATTGGATATGAATGTTTGCCTGACTGGTTTGACTTGAAGTTATTTTTTCACCACATTGACTATTTTCTGATATATCATCTGACAAACCGACTCGAATTTCAGCATTCAAAATACGGGTTTCTGAAAGGCAATGATGAACCTTATGTAATCCGCTTCATAAAACTACATGCTAATTCTAGAAACACTTAAGTTAATGGCAAAACCAGCCATATAAAGTTATAGTGAAAGCATTTTATTGCATACTTTCAAAGAGTATATAACATATACAGATAACTGGTGATTTCCACAAATAAAAGGACACACTGTACCAATTTGCTGCAAAGACACCAAAGCACGCTCTATAATACCATTGCAACTAGTGTGATCGAGAGCGTACCAAGAAACAACTCACCACAGCAATCTAGGCGATTAGTAACAATTACTTCATGAACAAGATAATTTCCACCAAGATCTACTTTCCACCAGGCATTTTGGTTGTCTTTGGTGCTGGTACAACTGCCACTATTCCAATTTGTGTTTGTATTACCATCCACACCATTGCTTGCCGGGTAGGAAGCCGACCAATCGCTACTTTGCATTGCTGTCTTACCGATCGCTACATTCTCTAGTGCTGGTTGTGACCCTGAAATGAATGAAGTAACATTTACGTCAGCATTCAAATTAGCTAAAACAGATGGTGACTAACGTGATGGTGCACACGGAGCTGATGAAATATTTTCGGTAATGAATAATTACTTTTACACAATCAATCCTAACTGAATACTCGATCAAATAATTGATATTATGTTCCATCTTTCTAGATGTCAATTTTGATGTTACCTCTACATTTGATTAATAGATTCGTAATTTGTTGATTTGGAAACACAGACACTTAATTTAGCCAGTGTTGCTGAGATTGTGCTTGTCTTTTTAGATTTTATACGCAATTGGGGAAAGATATATTATTATAAGAAGAAAAATTCAGTCAACATATTTATTGCGTCTGCACAAACAAGTGATATGCTTGGATATTGAGTTATATGTAAACTAATCTGAAGTTTCTGGTATCATACGATATGTTCAATAATTACTGTTCCAGCTCAACCATTTGCTACATTTTCTGTTAGTATCAATAAAAGAACTACGCATTGGAAAACAATGATGAAGAATGTTTGTTGTTGCAGGTCGCTTGGCAAAACTATTCCATGGTCATGTGACCAATCTTGGTCGTTTTAGGAGCAATAAACAATGATTGTTTCTTACCTTCAGCCATGACCTGCATTTCACAAAAGTTGAGAAGGTCAGATCTATCTACCAGCTGCATACTGACATAACGCCCAACGATTGGACTGCTACATTGGATATGAATGTTTGCCTGACTGGTTTGGCTTGAAGTTATTTTTTCACCACATTGACTATTTTCTGATATATCATCTGACAAACCGACTCGAATTTCAGCATTCAAAATACGGGTTTCTGAAATGCAATGATGAATTTTATGTAATCGCTTTATAAAACTACATACTACATATAAAAAACACAATATATGGTAAAACCAGCTATACTATAGTTATTATGAAAGCATTTTATTGCATACTTTCAAAGATTATATAACATATACAGATACCTGGTAATTACAACTAATAAAAGGACACACTGT